TACTAGTTGATACATCATTAATGGATTTGAAAGAAACTCGCTTTTGTTTTCCTTTAGCACAAGCATCACAGATTTTATCATTATCAAATTTAAGCTTAGGCAACCCTCTTACTAGGTCTCCTTGAATTAACCGTTGCAAAACACTCATACTAGCATGTCCTAGTCTCCTATGACATAACCAACTAACATGTTCATCCTTAGCAACTAGGCATAAATTAGTCATATCAAAAGAATCTAAATGGACCATGTATATGTTCCCTATTCTATGACCAACAAGCATAATCCGATTAGATGCAATGTCAATGACTTTACAACCATTAATTTCAAATAAGACATTGAATCCTTTATCGCATAATTGACTAATACTCAAATAGATTATGCTTTAATCCATTCACATATAAAACATTTTTACTTTGTATGGAAGAGGTATTACCTATTGTACCAATACCTTCAATGTGACCTTTTGAATTGTCTCCAAAAGTCACTTCTCCTCCATTTTTTGCGTTAAGCTCAATGAACCGGCTTTTGTCTCTGGTCATGTGTCTTGAGCATCCATTATCAAGGTACCATGAATTTGAATTTGTTTCCCGTGCCTTGTAGCAATGCTCCTTTCCCTACAAACATAGATTAATTTTTGATTTTTGGTACCCAAATTCTTTTGGGTCCATATTCATTAGTTTCCAAAATCCTAGTCCCCTTAGGTATCCATTTGTGTAGGATATTTTTATCTTTAGTGGTAATGAGTTCTTTAGGAACCCACATACTTCTAACGATTTTTCCATTAGAGGTTCTTTGGGGACCTCTATGATTGTAGTTTCTAAAACTTTTTCTAACAAAGTTGGATTTTGAATTTCCACCTTTTTCAAAATGTTTTGTTCCAACTTTATCAAAAGAAGTTTTAAGATCATCAATTTTCTTTTGATGATCATCATTGATCTTTGAAAGTAAATTTTGCAAATCTAAATTTTTCTTTTCAAACTCTTCTAGTTTGATTTGCAAATCTTTGATTTTACTTTCAAGATCATTGTTGGTTTTGGATTTGAGTTTGTTTTCATTTTTCAATTTTGAAACATCATTTTTATATTTTAAAAAATAATTTCTCATAATCCGAAGCCAACCCATTATATTCCTCTAATAACTCATCATAGGATAAATCATCAAAATCGGATGAGTTAGAGGTTACCTTAGAATCTTCCCCAAATGCTATCAAGCACAAGTTAGCTACTTCTTGTTCCTCTTCATCGGAACTTTCTTCATCGCTCCATGTAGCCACATGAGCCTTGTGCTTATTCTTTGATTGACCATTTTTCTTCAATTGTGGGCAATCATATTTAACATGCCCTGGCTTTTTGCATTCGTAGCAAATGATTGGGTCATTCTCTTTCGGTTCATTTTTGAGGCCTTCATTTCGTTTGAATTTTCTTCCTCGATAAGGTCTCATCATTTTTCTGAACCGTTTGGCAAACAATGCCATTTCCTCGTCATCGTCATCGTTATTCGAATCACTCTCATCTTTTGTGGATTTGAGAGCAACTCCAATGTTTTTATTCTTCTCCTTCTTCTTTGGTGTCTCGTCAATCTTGTCGAGGTCCACCTCATCTTCGAGCATCATTTCATGAGTGAGGAGTGACCCAATTAGCTCTTTAAGAGTTAAGGACGTTAAGTCTTTAGACTCGATGATTGCCGTCTTCTTTGATTGCCACGATTTTGGGAGGGAGTAGACTAACTTCCTCACAAGCTTTTCATTTGAAATGATCTCTCCATATGATTTGAGACCATTGACAATCGTTGAAAATCTATCCGTCATAGCTTTGATATCTTCATTTGGTTTCATCCTGAAATTTTCATAGCTATGCGTTAGAATACTAATTTTAGATTTCTTTATCTCATCAGTACCTTCATGAGTGACTTGAAGTTTGTCCCATATTTCTTTGGCGGTTGTACACGATGAAACTCTTCCGTATTCATATGGTCCAAGAGCACAAAAAATGATATGGATGGCTTTGGAGTTGAGTTGGAACATTCTTATCACTCCTTCACTCCACAACCTTGGATGAGTGAGAGGTTTGATGTATCATTTTTCTACAGCATTCCATGCTCCCATGTCACTTGCTTGAATGAAGTACATCATTCTATTCTTCTAATAGGCATAGTTAGCTCCATTGAAGAAAGGAGGCTTGTTGACGGGCATCGAGTCGAGACCGGAGTCGAAGTTTGAAGCGGAGGCCATTGATAACTTTGATTATCGATATAACTCTTCCCGAATCGACTCAAGAGGCGATTAAACCTTCAAATGAGTTAGGCTCTGATACCAATTGTTGAGTTAATCGATCGATGAATATGGCCAAGAGGGGGGTGAATTGGCAATTAAAGTTTTGGTGGAAGCTTTTGCAGAAAATTAAAAGTAATTGCACAGCGATTTAGAGTGGTTCGACTTTATCAACCAAAGTCTACGTCCACTACCTTAGCTATCCACACTAAGGATTTTTCAACAAATTCACTAATTTGTTCTTTCTTTTGAGGACAAAGAGTAACCTTACAAACCCTCAAGAATTATACCCCAAATTCTTAAGCACACTCTTTTTCAAAGAGAAATACACAAATTTGCAAACTTACAAGGAAAACCTCACAAGGTAGATTGTTTGCACAATTCTAGAATAAAGAAAAGAACACTCAAAGATGAATACAATTGAGCACAATATGTGTTCTTGAAAGCAAAATGAATATTGAATGAAAATAGGCTTGAAATGCTCAAACTTGAGGTTTGATGCTTTCTCTTTGATTCTCTCTTGATTCTAGTTGCTTGATGTTTCTTGTATTTGATCAATGGCTTCTAAGCTTGCTTAAATATATCTTGAATCACTTCTGAACGTTAGGGATGATTAATGAAGATAATATAGCCGTTTAAGTGTGAAAACATTTAATAAAAATGCTTGGAGCGTGGGGGGAATCGGTACCCTCTCATAGGGAATCGGTTCCCTAAGTGTAAAATTCAAATATTTCGACCGTTGAATAGGGGGAATCGATTCTCTCCGAGCATTCTGGAAATCTTGGAGCAAAACCATTCAGGGGGGAATCGGTACCCCCTTAGGGGGGAATCAGTTCCCTCTGAGCAATCTGGAATTTTTGGCTTTGAAATGGTTCGAAATACTTTGAAAGATTATTTTGAAATTTTTTTAAGATTAAAACTTAAATTTACACTTAAGTAAGGATTAAAAATGATTTTTGAAATATTTGGAGTAATGTTTTGATATTCGAATAATTATATCGAATATACTTAGAAAATCATTTGGAAAATCTTAAAATTCATTTAACTTAATTTGTTATATCAAAATATCAAAATGTTTTCAACAAGACATGTTTAAGCTCACAACCAATAACTACTCATATTGGAAGCCGATGATGGAGGACCACCCATACTGCAAGGATTTGCATGAGCTCATCATCTACAAAGACAAGGTAGAAGGCAAGAGTGATGATCAATGGAAGCTACTAAATCGGAAGGTCGTTGCTATGATCCGTAAATACATTGATAAAACCCTCTTTGAGCATGTTTATACTTATACAAATGCTTATGAATTATGGACAAAGCTTGAGTTCATGATTCAAAAGAAAACGCCTCGTAACAAAGCCAATTTAGTTCGAAAGCTGGTGAAATTGGAGTATAAGAATGGTTAAATTATGATTGAGCACTTAAATAATTTCAAGGGGCTCGTAAATCAATTAACAAAAACTGAGATGAAAATTGATGATGAGCAACAAGCCCTTCTACTCCTTAGTTCCTTACCGGAAAGTTGGGATACACTCGTTGTTACACTTAGTAATTCAGCTCCGGAAGGAAAACTCACCATGGATACCATTAGTGATAACTTCCTCGGTGAAGAAGAAAGGAGAATGGAATGAGGTGAGTCTATTAATCCCGAAGCTAATATTATTGAGAATTAGGGTAAGAATGAAACTCGTGGACGTAGCAAAAGTCGAGATCTACATCAATCTCGAGGTAGATCCAAGTCACGCTCGAAGATTACATGTTACTACTGTGGAAGGATGTGCTACAAGAAAATGGAATGTTGATCCTTCAAGAGAGATCAGAAGACCAATAATGTTAAGCCAGACCAAGTTAGCCCAACAAATAAGCAAGAAGAAAATAGTACTACTACTGTAGTATCAAAAGAATATCTACTATATCTCGTTGATGAATGTAATATCCTAATAATACATAAGAAAAAAAATGATACTGAAGATCATGAACCTATGTTAGAGCAAAGCAACCAGAAGACTCATGATGAACCAGCTCAGGAAGAGCCTCAATCTAGCTCTCCAACAGCACCAGAGCTGAGATGATCCTCGAGAGATAGAAGACCATACACTTGGTATAATACAAATGAGTACGTTATGCTCACTGATGAAGGGGAGCCTCAAAGCTATAAAGAAACAATGAGTGATAGTCATAAAGAAGAATGGAGAAAAGCCATGCAAGAAGAGATGCAATCCTTGTATGAGAATCATACTTATGAACTTGTGGAGCTACTAAAATAGAGAAGAGCCTTGAAGAATAAGTGGGTGTATCAAATCAAGATCGAAGATAGCAGCTCAAAGCCTCACTATAAAGCTCGGTTGGTCGTCAAAGGATTCAAACAAGAAAAAGGTATAGACTTTGAAGAAATACTCTCTCCCATGGTAAAGATGTCATCCATACAAATGGTCCTTGGCTTAACGAACCATGCAAGATTTGGAGATTGAACAACTTGATGTTAAGATGGCGTTCCTATATGGCGATCTAGAGGAAGACATCTACATAGAGCTGCCTGACGGATTCAAAGTTCCAGGCAAAGAAAATTTAGTGTGTCGTCTGACTAAGAGTCTATTTGGGCTTAAGCAAGCACCACAGCAATGATACAAAAAGTTTGACTCTTTCATGGAAGAACATAATTTCAAAAAGATGAAAAGCGATCATTGTGTCTTCACAAAAAGGTATGCAAATGGTGATTTTCTCATACTCTTGCTATATGTTGGCGATGTATTAATTATTGGATAAGATCACATGAAGATAGCTTCTTTAAAGAAAGAACTAAGCAATATTTTTGCCATGAAAGATTTGGGATCGACTAAACAAATCCTTGGGATGCGAATAACTTGTGATAGATTAAACATGCACAAATCAAAGTCGGTTAACACACTACTTGCTGGACACTTCAAGCTGAGTTTGAAGCAGAGTCCCATAAGTGAGAATGAAATGGAGGAAATGAAGAAAATTTTATACTCATCTGTAGTAGGAAGTCTCATGTATGCAATGATATGCACAAGACCAGATATTGCCTATGCAGTTGGAGTCGTGAGTCGCTTCTTGGCAAACCCAGGGAATGAACATTGGGTTGCAGTAAAATGGATCCTTCGATATCTACGAGGAACTTCCAAAAGGTATTTATTCTTTGGAAAAGGAAAACATGTGTTGGAAGGATACACAGATGTAGACTTGGCTGGAAATATTGATTCAATAAAATCAACATCGGGATACGTAACTACTTTTGCAGGGGGAGGTGTCTCGTGGTAATCAAAGGTACAAAAGTGTGTTGCATTGTCCACTACTGAGGTAGAGTACATCGCAACTACTAAATCTTGTAAGGAGATGTTGTGGATGAAGAATTTTGTTGTTGGAGCTGGGAATAGATCAAGAAAGTTATTTCTTAAAGTGTGACAATCAAAGTACAATTTATCTGGCAAAGAATTCAATATTTCATTCTCGTACAAAGCACATAGACACTAGATATCATTAGATCCGAGAAGTTCTCGAAGAAAAGCAAATACATCTTGACAAGGTTCACACAGATGAGAACTGGTTAGACATGATGACCAAGGTAATACCGACAAAGAAGTTCGAAGATTGTTGTCAAGGTTTCGGCTTGCTACTACCTCCCAATTAAGTCAAGAGGGGGAGATTTATTAGATTTCTCCTTAATTGGAGAGGTTCTAGAAAATTATAGAGCTTTCTGGAGAAGTGTAGAATTTTCTATAACATTCCAAAGAACTCTAGAGAAGTGTAGAACTCTCTAGAAGCTTGTAGAAGAGTTTAGAATCCTCTGGAATTTTCTGGAGATGTGTGGAACCTTATAAAGGAGTATGGAAGGATATGGAAGGGAGTGGAAGAGTGTAGAGCTTCTTAGAGTGTGTGGAGCATTCTAGATAATTAATCTCCACCCTTGGATAAGTAATCTCTACCATTCATTGTAGAGGTGGAGTAGTATAAATAGGGGAGAGAGACTTCATTCCTAACCATCTAAGAAATCCAAGCTTGAGAAACTAGAGAAACTAGATAGTTAGAGAGCCTCTTTGAGAGAGAAGAGAGATAGCTTGAGAAGTCTTTATCCTCAAGCTTGAGTGAGCCACCAAGTGTGAGTCAAATTTGGTGAACACATCCTTGTAATCCTACTGTAATCCTACTGTAATCCTACTATTCTTTTGTATAGTGGAAGAATCTCCAAATTGGAGAATTATACTCTTGTGCTCTCTTTACTATCCTTAATCTCTAAGAGCCTATCTTAACTTCACGAAGCGGGAAAGACCGCGATTCCTAACGGTGCAGTGGAAGAAATAATTTTGCATGCATTAAGGGAGTGTCCACTGGTTCAACCTATCTTTACTAGTGTAGGTTTACCGTCATTTATGACTTTCGGGGAGTTTATTTCATGTGGTTCATGGCTAGATTCAATGCTATCTTGTTTGACTAGTGGATCCTTTACTTCCTCTTGTGGTGCTTCTTTCACAGATTTGGTATCGACGAAACGTATATGTGCATGAGGGTTGCCTTCTCCTAGGATGGCAAGTGGTTGCTTCGAGTTCTGCTATACAAATGGCTTATGATCGAGTAATGGTTTCTATAACTTTCAAAGTTTCAGGGTTTGTTACTGGCATATACCTTCAGTGAGATTTCTTAAGGTTAATGTCGATGTCGTTTATCCTCTTGATGAGACAATGGGTGCAATGGTCAGATATTCTAAAGGTTTTATTTTGGTTGCTCGGGCAACTTGCATTACTGGTCCACGTGATGCATGTTATATTAAAGCTCAAGCCATTTGTTTCGATCTTTGTCTTGTTGTTTAGTGGGGTTGCAACCAAGCTATTTTTTGAAAGTGATGCATCAAATGTGGTGTTGAGTTAATCGATCGGATGAATCGACCAAAAGGGGGTGAATTGACCATTAAAATTTCGATGGAAGATTTGACATAAAATTGAAAAGATTTGCACAACGATTTAGAGTTGTTCGACTTTCTTAACCAAAGTCTACGTCCACTACCTTAGCTATCCATACTAAGGATTTTCCACAAATTCACTAATTTGTCTTTCTTTTTAGGACAAAGTGTAACCTTACAACTCCCTCAATAATTATACCCCAAATTCTTGAGAACACCCTCTCTCAAAGAGAAACGTACAAATTTTTCAAACTTACAGAAAAACCTCAAAAGGTAGATTATTTGCACAATTCTAGAACAAGGAAAGAACACTCAAAGATAAATACAATTGAGCACAAAGTGTGTTCTTGAAAGCAAAATGAATATTGAAAGGAATTTGGGTTGAATTGCTCAAACTTGATGTTTGATGCTTTCTATCTTGTTTCTCTAGCTTTTCTTTGTAATAATTAATGATCAAAGGCTTCAGGAACTTGTTTAAATACACCTTGGATGAGTTCTAGCAGTTGGGAATCAAATTGGTGATGATAGAGCCGTTATAGTGTGAAGATCCACTTGAAAAAGCTATTGGGAGCATATGGGTATCGGTACCCCTTCAATGGGTATCGATACTACCTATATAAAATTCAAATATTTCGACCGTTATAAAAACAAGGGTATCAGTGCCTCTTAAGGTGGTATCGATACTTCTATGCAAAGAGGTATCGATACATATCATGTATCGGTACCCATATTGCATTCTGTTTTTATTGAAGTCAAAATCAACAAAAGGGGTATCGGTACCTTTGGGATGGGTATCAGTACTTTTGGGATAGGTATTAGTACTCCTATATAAAGGGGTATCGATACCCTATGGGGTATCAGTACATCTTTTGCATTCGATATTTGAGGGGTATCAGTACCTCTTAAGAAGTTATCAGTACATCCTATTTAAAACTCAATTTTGACTCGATTATGGTTTGAAATACTTTGTAAAAATTGTTCCAAAAATATTTTAAGTATAAACCACAATTTTTCATTAAGTAAGGAGTAAAAATTGATCTTTGAAGACTTGGAGTAATATTTTTGATATTCTAATAATTTAATCGAATATATAATTTTGAATCAAATATAAAATCTTAAAATTCAATCTTAAAAATCATTAACACTTTTGTTATATCGAAATATCAAAATATTTTCTCAACAATCTCCCCCTTTTTGATATAACAAAACACTTTTAGAAATTTTAAGATTTTTTGTATTTCGAAAAATTACTTTGCAAAATTACTTTGAAAAATTACTCCCCCTTGCTATAACATTTCTCCCCTTTTTTGTTAAATCAAAAAGACTCTATAAAATGTTTAAACAAGTTTTTAAAGAAAATAACCAATCAATTTATATTTATATAGCTGCTAAGATCAAAGTCAAGAGAAATATTAATCATTAGTCCATAATCAATATTCATAAACATCTGTAATTGGGAATTGGTCATTAGATTTCTAATATGTAAATGATGCAAAAACTATTGAAGATTCAATTTAAGTTCAAATAACTAAATATCATTCATAATCAATCATAAAATATCCAAAACACAAACATTCAAACCAAATATCCAAAATCCATCCAAATCATTCAAAATGTTTTAATAATTCTAAGTTCAAGTTTCAACCTAAGAAAACTAGCAAGTCAAGGTCAAACATCCGTAGGAGTATCGGGATCGAATCGATGTCCTCTAAGATAAGCAACATCGCGGGTAAGTGTGTCGAGTCTCTCATCCATAGCATTGAATCTAGTATCCATTACTTCGTGGTTAGCTCGAATTTCCCTTTGATTCTCCAATTGTTGAGTTCCCATAGCAGTCAAGTGGGACTCCAAGGATGCAAACCTTAAGTCCAATGTCTCCATAAAGGATTACAAGTATGGAGGTATTATGTTTTTTTGCTGGGCTGGATCATCTTCGGGCAAGTTTACAGGATCATCGACATCCCGTAGAAGATCGTTAAGCACTTGAGCAGTAGCCGGAGCCAGAGCAGCTTGTGAAGAGCTAGCACCGGGGGTTTTATGAGTTGAACAAACCCATTGATCCTCTTCTCCACTCCATCCCAATTTACGTAAAGATGTAAGATTGATTTAAAAGAGGGATGGCTGCATCAAGCTCTACCTTAAGCTTGGCTTTGATAAATATGTTACTAAGTAGACAGCCGTAAACTAATGTTTCAACATATTTAGAGGGAACGTTGTTTACGATTTCTACTAGCTCCGAAAAGATAATCCGAGAAAGGTTTATTTTCTTATTTTTCTGGATACAGTGTATCCACCATAAGTCAAGTGCTCTAAGAGTGGAGTATTTTCCTCCGGATGGTCTAAACCACCAAGAGATGATGAGATGAAGGAAAGGATCTGATCTAAAACACTCGCAATAGACTTGGCTTTATAAGGAGTAGACACTATAGCTCGCTCATTATCTAACCCTCTATTATCTAATCCAAATTCATTAGCGATGTATTCAGAGTCTATATTAATGTATTAGCCTAAGAGATAAGACTAAATACTCTCGGTTGCGGTTCGAGGCTCGTTTTGAACACAAATTGTATTTGAGTAGAAAATATGAACGAGTTGGTGATAAACAACTGGTTCAAGATTGAAGAGTTTATCAAATTTCAATGATTGTAGGGTAGGGAGATATTTAAATTTCATTCTATCATGGCTTAGAGAGAAGGGATATATTCTTCCCTAATGTCATATGACTCGAAGTGGTGAACAAACCTAGTGTAGAGACCTCTACGGTTTGGTTCATTAAAACACGAGTTTAGAATTGTCATCTAGGGTTCATTACGGT